ACTCCAGTACTATACAACCCCAATCGTACACAACTCCAGTACTATACAACCCCAATCGTACACAACTCCAGTACTATACAACCCCAATCGTACACAACTCCAGTACTATACAACCCCAATCGTACACAACTCCAGTACTATACAACCCCAATCGTACACAACCCCCATCCCATACAACACCAACCCCATTCCTATACAACCCCAACTGTACACAACCCCCATCCTATACAACTGCAACCCCAACTGTACACAACCCCATTCCTATACAACCCCAACTGTACACAACCCCATTCCCATAAAAGACCAACCCTATATAACATCAATCCTATACAACACTAACCCCATACAACACTAACCCCATACAACACTAACCCCATACAACACTAACCCCATACAACACTAACCCCATACAACACCAGCATTATACAACTCTATTCCTATACATCACCAACGCTATACGACCCCAATCCTGTACAACACCAACCCTATGCAACCCAAATCCTGTACAACACGTACCGTATACAACACCAATCCTATACAACCCCAACCCAATACAAACTAAATCCTATACAACCCCAACCCTTTACAACCCCAACTTTTTTACAACACCAACCATATACAACAGCAGCACTATACAACCCCAACCATATACAACGGAATCCTACACAATATGAATTGTCTACACCCTCAACCGTATACAACGCCATCCCTGTACGACCCCAAACCTATAAGATAGCGCTCCTGGTGGCCCCGGCCCAATGTAAGACACAATCAGGGAGCTGGAGGTAGATGGTCTTTAGCGGAGTGTGACGGGACGGATGGTTTGCTGTCTGCGGTGGATTTGGTCAGAACTCACCTTCAGGAATTCGGAGAACTGGGCCTCCATCAGCCGGTTCAGGTCCTCCTTGGACATGTAGTTCTTGTCTCCGGCGTATTTGTGGAAGGTGAACATCAGGCTCTCCATGGCTTGCTCCATCTCAGAGGGGACGCCCATGTCTGCGGAGATATCAGCTGCGTTCTGCAAGAGACGGAAGAACGGGTCAGTCCATCGAGTTCCATACAAGACATCAATTATTCACTTATTATTATTACCGACATTGGACGAGGGGCCCCCCAGACGCTTCCACCGGGCCCCAACCTGATCATGGACAACCACCCATTGAGTGCTGGGGAGAGGGCACCATAGAGCGTCAATCACTTACTGTATCGGATATACTTTGGGGTCTATTTATAAATGTTTTCACCCAAGAATCACACAGCTTTCACCCAAGAGTCACACAGCTTTCACCCAAGAGTCACACAGCTTTCACCCAAGAGTCACACAGCTTTCACCCAAGAGTCACACAGCTTTCACCCAAGAGTCACACGTTTCTAATTGGAAAAAACGTGAATTCTAACATTAAAGAGAACCTGTCACCAGAATCTGAACACTCAGTCTATAATGATACCGCGGCACAGGCTGACCTGAGAAACATTGATAACCGAGCTGTCAGCTTGCTTGGTCTGAGCCCGACTCCTAGACTGTGGGGGTCACATGACCCAGCCCCTCATGCTGCCTCCTAGCTCCGGAGTGTGCACAGCACCATCATGTAGCATCCGTGCAATACAAGTGTATGTAAAACTTTCTTTTTTGATTGTGGATGGAGAAAGGAAAGGTCCGAACTTTATTTCTGCCTGTGAACCCACCGGGGAGATTCACCCTCTCGGATTTGTCCCGGTGACCACTGTCAAGGTGATGGGAAATCCAAAATGTGACCCTTGTCACCAGAACAGGAATAGAGGGGAAATCTATCAATGGGGACACCAGATCTGGTGACGAGCGTCTAAGAGGGGGTTATTTCTTCGCTTTGGGGAGATTGCTTCTCACTTCCTGTCGTGTCACCATGACAGGAAGTCAAGAGAAATCTCTCCAATGGGACACTGAGAAAAAAATAAAGCCGAGCTGGGTTCAAAACGTTTCATACTTCATTCTAATCTGAAAAGGAGGCAGATTCTTTACATGTTCAACCAACTGGCGAGACCAAAGCTGACCATATGCGTTACAATCTGATTGTACAATCTCCTTTAGATCTACTGACAACCATGTAGTCCAAGGGTTTGATCGGATACACACTGATTGATCGCATACACGCCGATCGGTCGGATACACGCCGATCGGTCGGATACACGCTGATTGGATAGTTTGGGTAGACCGGTAGTCTGGGTCACAAAGCCGCCCATGAATTTGTCACCCGGCCTTCATCCCATCCACGCGCCCTGTGGCGGTCGGACGGTACACGAGGGGTTAATGCAGCCATTAGCGGTTCTATTGATTATTTTAATCTCGGCGGAGGACGTCATTCTCGGTTACTCTCTGTACACAGGAAGATGGGAGTCAGCAGGAGCAGCTAATGGAGGCTAATGGGCGAGGTGATTATCCTCTGCCGGGAAAATGGATGGTACAAGGAGGAGGCCGGTGAAAAGTGCACATTCACCGTCACCGGGGGATTGGACGCGTCTCAGGGCGGAGTCATTATATAATGAATTCCAGATCTGAACCTAATATGGTGGGGGGACATTAGAGTGTAAGCTCCTCTGTACAGAGACTGATGTGACTGGTTACAGATGAGCACATCTCATGGAATTCCCGGACTATAGGTCCTCACACCTCAGAGGGAAGGAGTGACTGACGTTCATTGTAAGTTGTCCTCACACTAGGTCACGGCCCCGCCCCCTATCCGCCAATCATGTGGGTGTAAATTATTCCACAATTATTACACCGTCCTGTCAATCAAATCCTCCTCAGGGCAGATGATTATCACTAAGCCTCGTCTTGCCTTACACTCTGATACCCCCACCCCCTCCCCCCGCCCACAGTCACATCAGTCTCTGTACAGAGGAGCTTACACTCTAATGCCCCCCCAGTCGCACACTATTATTATACATGGATATAGCTCTGACATATACCGCGGCGCTGTACAGAGATCACCGGAGGAGCTGACACTCTAATATCACACACTATGATTATATGGCTGTGACATACGCCGACCTTTCACCCTCAGGAGAGATAACACAAGGGTGATCTCAGTGTCCCTGGGAGATCGGGTCCATAGATCACTCTGCAGCACACAAGTGACAACATTCCAGGAATTCCGCTCTGCGGATCAGAAACAATTCCCGTCTATAAAGAAAATCCTCGTTTTCCCTTTTCATCCTCTGATCCCCCTGCAGCCTCTTTGCAGCCACTTCCTGTCTACGTGGGAATAGAAAATCGATTAGAAACAGGAAGCAGACTACGATCGGGGGAATTCGAGTGCCTGCTGCTTGAAAGAAAAGGAGAGGATTTATTCCGAAGATACAATTGATGGGATTGCCACGTCTATGCCCATTTTATAAAACTATTTTCATTGTTTCTGGGAAACACGAGTGTAGCGGATCTGTCATCAGGGAAAGAACGTCTTTGACTGTCAGCTCTGCAGACAATGAGGATGAGATAGTGGTCCAGAGTTCACCCCGCCCCCTCCTCCCCGGAGTCCCTCCGTATCAGGGTCAGCCGGGCGCGGTTATTGGTTTAGGCAATCACCCCATTCATTCCAAACATCCCTGGAATCCGGAGGGCCGCACCCCACTCATCATTCCATCAACAATACCCCCCGGCCCCAGGATGACCCCACAATCGGTCACAGACCTGGGAACACAGCACAGGGATGGTGGGAACCCCCTATAATGGGCACAGTAGGTGGGCGGAGCCAGGAACTCAGCACAGGGATGGTGGGAACCCCTCATAATGGGCACAGCAGGTGTACAGACCCGGGAACTCAGCACAGGGATGGTGGGAGCCCCTCATAATGGGCACAGCAGGTGTACAGACCCGGGAACTCAGCACAGGGATGGTGGGAGCTCCTCATAATGGACACAGCAGGTGTACAGACCCGGGAACACAGCACAGGGATGGTGGGAACCCCTCATAATGGGCACAGCGGGTGGGTGGGGCAGAGCTGGAAACTTGGCACAGGGATGGTGGGAGCCCCTCATAATGGGCACAGCAGTTGGGCGGAGCCGGGAACCCGTGGCATGTCCTCACCCATCACTCTGTCATAGTGAACCACTGCGGTAAATTGGCACTTCCTGGGCGTGGCGCACCCTGCCCCCATGTCACACGGCCTCTACACTTACGGCTCTCGGTCTGTTATGAAGTTCACCTTTTAGGAAACGCCCGTTACTGCCACCATGCGGAATCTGACAGTGTCAGAGACCCCCTTTAAGGGAAAGCTGACCTCCAAACCAAGTCCCCCCCAGGAATATAAGGGTGACCCCGCCCATCAGAAGCCACGCACATGACTTTCGGGTGGACTCACCCTTTAAGCAACAGCCGAACTCCATGTGTCCCAGCACGCGCGGGGTTAAGCGGTCTGTGGGCTGAGTGCAGGGTGTGTCCCGCCTGTGTGCACACAACACGTATCCGCAATCCTCCTCCACTCTACCCTTCCATTAACCCCTTCCCCTCCAACGCCGCGCCCCGCGGAAGCAGCACATTATTAACCCCGTACTGCCCAACTCTGTCTATACACCGACATTTCTGCACATCAATCCCTGCATGGTCGCGATGCTCTGCGGACGCAACCGCCCATCCCATTTGCCAACCAACCGCAGTGACCGATAGCCAGA